TTGCGGCGTGACCATCCCCCCGGGGGGTGATTTCTCGCTTTCTGTCTCTAATGTCTCTCTCTGTCTGTGTGGCGAGCGCACGCGCCCTATAGTGAAAAATCTCTCCAAAAAAAAAAATTTAATTTAAAATATAAAAAATTCAAAACAAGAGGGTTCTTTTTTTTTTTTGAGAGAGAGATTTTTGCTATAGGGCACGTGCACTTGCTGGAGAGACAGAAACAGAGAGAAACCACTCCCCCAAGGGGATGCCCACACCACAATCCCTTTTCCATCTCCTCTCAGAATTTTGGACATACACTCACATGCACCTGGTGTGGGTTTCAAGCCACTGCATCCAGGACTCAAACCACGATTGACTACTTGAGAGTACAGTGCCTTAACCACTATGCCATCTTCTGGCCCCAGTGAAGGACTTTTTTTTTTTTTTTTAACAATTATTTATTTTAAAATTTTTATTTCTTTATTATTATTATTATTCACTTTGACCATAGAGGGACATAGAGAAAGGTTAGGGGGGAGGGAGAGAGAGAAAGCAAGCTACCAGGTCTAGGACTCAAACTGTGGTCAGCCATGTGGGAGTCTAGTACCTTAACCATCACACCACATGCCAGCCCCAGTGACGGATTTTTACAAAGACCTTTATGCTTTAGACCTTTTGTCGCACTACCAGATTACATAAAGCAGTACATTCCGTAAAATATTTAAACGTAATCCATGTTCTGCTGTGTAGTCATAAAAGGTATCGTCATTTCTAGAGAATGAATGAACTTGGTGTCTTTGGTCAGGGTTAAAACAGTAAGCAGAGCCTCTTAGTGAATACCCAGTCACCGGGTTTTCTTGCTGTTCTTATATTGCAGCACAATGGAGTTGGACACAAGTTAGAGAAGAAAATCCCCGGGTTCTTTCTCTTTGGATGTGAGAGATCCTTCAGGAGTGATTTAAAAAAGTAAAAATGTAGGAGTTATAGAAGGAGATCATTGTTTTATGTTCACAATTGAACAGACAAAAAGATTTACTTTTGAAAGGACTTTATACACTTGGAAAATTTAGCTCTTAAGGTTGTCGAGAACAAAGTTTTCGTTTCAAGTGTACTTTATTCAGGATAGAGAGCATGCACATATATGTGCAAGAGAGGAGTACCCTCCACAGGGTTTCATCTCACCTCAATCCCTTCCCCTGCCCCCGCTAACTCATCAGGATCTTGGGCATACACACCCTCAGGCATACATCCACACACTCAGTGTGTTTCAAGTTGACCAAGCCAGGGAACCAAACCTGCAGTCAGCCATGTGGCTTCCAATACTGCAGTTCAGCACACTGTCAACTGTGCCACAGAGGCTGGGGCAAGAGCAGAGTTTTTGAAAGTTCATTAATGGGTAGAACAGTTATGTTTTTGGTAGCAAACGATATGTTCTTATATCAGTGCCTGTGAGTTTCTTCTTCACTTTTCAAGAAAATTACCTGTTTCTTATATTCATCTTGAGACAACTATAGGTGAATGAATGCAACACTTTGTCGATAAGAAAGCAATGAAAAGATATGAGGCAGAAAGAGCCTCTTTCTCTTTCCCTCACTTTCCTTCCAACCATCATCCTTTCTTCTGGTCTTTGTAAGTCATTTGAGGACATTATTAGAATCACCTGGGATGATTGTTGAGCTCAGTGTCAACCAGTTACCCCAGTACTTAGGTACTTAATTGAAAAAACGTACAGCCCAAGGTTTAAAAAGCAAGTGGTAAAAATTACTTTTTATTTGAGAATCATATAAAGGACTCTCTTTGCTGAGTAAATGCTCAGTCATGCCAAGATGAATCAATCTAGCATTTTACCTCTATTCCAGCTGCAGCCAAGAGCCACCGGATAGACTCCATTCTGCCTCTCCCATTGAAGTAGTGAAGCTTTGGCTTCCCCGCCATGCTGAAGGATACGGACGGAGACACTTCTGCTCAAAGAAAGAGAAATACAAGCTCACCCAGCAGTGCAAGGTGGATCAGGAAGCTGAAAACTTGCAACTTATAATAATGTAAATTAAAGCTACTCCTCGGCTCCAAGATGACCTGCATTCTGTGCTCTTTCTCCCAGTGCAGTTTACCTTCACAATTAGGTGTTCTAAATTTCTTGCAAGAAATCTAATGAAATAATTGATGTATTTTTCAAAAGTAGAGAGAAAGGACGAGCGTGAGGAAGTCAGAGGGAAGAGGGGAGTTTGAGGGTAAGGTACCGACCAGCTTCTGTTCCTGTGGCAGGTGATGAGTGTTTAGCATCCCAACCTTCCTCTCCTTTTCTATACAGAGCCTCCTCCTGCCGTCAGGGCAAGCCTAGACTGGAGCAACTAGGGGAGATTAGGGGAGGCTGGAGTTTTTCACTTTTCAATTTAATCTTGATTTTTTTTTTTTTTAATTATGGCATCCCCTGAAGCCTAGAGACAAATTTCAAAAGAATTTTCAATGATTCATTGGATTTAAAGCTAAAGTGCCAAGTTAGGCAAAGTGTGACCTTTGAAATGTCTTTTGAAGAAACATGCCCATGCTCATTTTTAAGAAGTTAAAATAATTTCAAAATACAGTAATTAAAATCTCATCCCTAGGCCAGCAAGTGGCATCGAGGTTAAAGGCACCTGGGTCTCACATGGACGACCATGTGGTTTGAGTCCCAAAGCTGTTAGCTAGAAAAACACACTGGGCGCATGTGTATGTGTACTCCAAATCTCGAGAGGAGAATAGAGGAAAAGGGACTGTGGTGTGGCCATTCCTCCTGGGGGGCTACTTCTCACTCTCTCTCTGTGGTGAGGGCTCGCACCCTATAGTGCAAGAAAAAAAATCCCATCCCCACCATCTCAAGGTACTCTATGAGGCTTGTGGAGTAGGCTTCATGGGGTGTTAGACTGGTCATTGAAAGATAGGTAGATGCACAGGGGGTGGAATGTGTGGCCTTAGGAATAGGTGTGTGTTCATGGTATGAACATAAGCTAATTTATTGTACAGCACATCAATCAATTCACTTTCAAAAGCTGCACAGTAAGGACTCAAGAAAATAAATGGTGAGAGATAGATGGAGCTATCACTGCAGTTGTGTGTTACTTAGTGATGAAGTTATGTTCTGAGAGACACATTTCTACTTCCCTCTTGCTGGTAAGTGACATGACAGCTGTTATATGACAATTTTTTTGAATAGACCAAAATCCACGTAACTTTTTCTCCTTTTTATTTAAATTTGAAGCGATATCCTAGGGTGTGATCAAATACAAATTTGATCAAAACTGAATAAACTCCATTGCAACAAAGTCTATATCATTGATTTCTAGTTAAGTCAACACATATGCTTTTGAAAACTTTATTAGTCTCACAATAATCAGAAACAGTATTTAGATGAATCACTTGGTTGTTATAATACTTCAGAAGATCACTCTTGCATGTGCTTGGCATTGTGCCTGCTTTATTAAAATTTGAAAATCTTCCTTGCTTTTTCTACAGTTTTCTCATCTGCAAGAGGTTTCCTCTGGCTGCCAGGTTGCAGAAACTTCTTCACTGTGGGGAGGTTACTGATTCTGGCTTTCAGCGCCTACAATACACAGGAATCCAGGTTCAAAGAAGAGCCAAAAGCCAGCACCATCATTAAAACAACACAAGAAAACTGAGACCCTCCCAAAGACTAACTATCTCTTCCATCAGCTCTAGGATGGAGACTGGGAAACAGATACTCAGTATGGATAAAGATAAGAGGAAGAAAACATAAATCAATATTGCTTTCCTAGAAGACTTCTTTAAGATGATTGAGCTCAGGGAACCAGCAGTTAGCATAATGGCTATGTCGCTGGACTCCCACGTAGTTGACCGCGTTTTGTGTCCCTGAACCGGTGGCCTACGTAGTTGACCGCGTTTTGTGTCCCGGAACCGGTGGCTTAAAACCCACGCCAGGCGCGTGTACGTGTGTGCCCAAGATCCCTAGAGGAGAATGGAGGAGAAGGGATTGCGGTGTGGCCATCCCCTCTGGGAGGTGATTTCTCGCTTTCTGTCTCTCTGTCTCTCTCTGTCTGGCGAGTGCACGCACCCTATAGTGAAAAACCTCTCAAAAAAATTTAAAAAAATAAAAAATAATTTAAAAATAAAAAAAAGGATGATTGAGCTCACAGTCTACCCTATTATTCCTTACATATTAGTCTTACAGGTCCATGACTCTGTACAATACAAGGAACCACAACGGGTTTGTCAGGTTACAATACACATAAGTCTCCAATGGGAGCACTGAAAATATGGGAAAATTGAGTTTGCACTAAAGACAGAAAACATAAAAGGTAGGGCTAGTTTATGATCTGGTGCTTAAGGCAGCCAGATCCCACATGACTGACCATGTAGTTTAAATCTTGACCCTGGCAGCTTGAGAAACATGCCAAGCATATGTATATGTATGACTCAAATCCTGACAGGGTGGAAAAATGGAGGAGAAAGGATTGCAGCATGATGACACCCTATTGGGAGGGTGCTTTCTCCCGCTTTCTCTCCATCTTTCTCTCTGTGTCTCTCTGTCTCTCTCTCTGGTAAGCACCTGTGCCCTCTGGCAAGTAAATAAAGGAAGAAAGAGAAAGAAAGAAAGAAAATACAAAAGTTAAACTACAGAGCCAGTCAAAATCAGTTTTTCTATACCAAGAAAGAGATGGAGATGGGGAGGGGGGTAAAGTGTTGGGATGGACCTTGGCAGAAAGGAACACATGTCTGACAGTAAGAGTGGGTACTGAGGGAAGAAAACCAGATGGAAGGAGACCTGCTCAGACAGACTCAAACATGGAAAGACAGGGCAAACTGGGATAAAGGAATCACGGAGAAACTGGAGAATGCAACCACAACACAATAGGAGTCTGAGGAGATATGCTAGAACCCAGGTCCATTGTGTAAATACTCTTTATTTATTTTTTTTTAGAGTTTTTTGCAATAGGGCATGTGTACTCAGTGGAGAGAAAGAGAGACTGAAATGGTGACCTGGTGGTTTAAACTCAGACTGGGTATGTGTGCATGCATGCCTAAGATCCTGAGAGGAGAATGGAGGAGAAGGGATTGTGGTGTGGTCATCCCCCCAGGGGATGATTTCTTGCTTTCTGTCTGTCTTTTCAATGAGCGCACGTGCTCTGTAGCAAAAACCTCTCAAAAAAATTTAAAAAAATAAAAAATAATTTAAAAATAAAAAAAATGATGATTGAGCTCACAGTCTACCCTATTATTCCTTACATATTAGTCTTACAGGTCCATGACTCTGTACAATACAAGGAACCACAAAGGGTCTGTCAGGTTACGATACACATAAGTCTCCAACGGGAGCACTGAAAGTATGGGAAAATTGAGTTTGCACTAAAGACAGAAAACATAAAAGGTAGGGCTAGTTTATGATCTGGTGCTTAAGGCAGCCAGATCCCACATGACTGACCATGTAGTTTAAATCTTGACCCTGGCAGCTTGAGAAACATGCCAAGCATATGTATATGTATGACTCAAATCCTGACAGGGTGGAAAAATGGAGGAGAAAGGATTGCAGCATGATGACACCCTATTGGGAGGGTGCTTTCTCCCTCTTTCTCTCCATCTCTCTCTCTCTGTCTCTCTGTCTCTCTCTCTGGTAAGCACCTGTGCCCTCTGGCAAGTAAATAAAGGAAGAAAGAGAAAGAAAGAAAGAAAATACAAAAGTTAAACTACAGAGCCAGTCAAAATCAGTTTTTCTATACCAAGAAAGAGATGGAGATGGGGAGGGGGGTAAAGTGTTGGGATGGACCTTGGCAGAAAGGAACACATGTCTGACAGTAAGAGTGGGTACTGAGGGAAGAAAACCAGATGGAAGGAGACCTGCTCAGACAGACTCAAACATGGAAAGACAGGGCAAACTGGGATAAAGGAATCACGGAGAAACTGGAGAATGCAACCACAACACAATAGGAGTCTGAGGAGATATGCTAGAACCCAGGTCCATTGTGTAAATACTCTTTATTTATTTTTTTTTAGAGTTTTTTGCAATAGGGCATGTGTACTCAGTGGAGAGAAAGAGAGACTGAAATGGTGAGAGGGAAAATAAGAAATCACCCCCCCAGGGAGGTAGCCATGCCACAATCCCTTCTCCTCCATTCTCCTCCTGTGATCTTGAGCACACACACACACATGCCCAGTGTGATTTTCAAGACACCAGGTCCGAGACTCAAACTCTGGTTGGCCACGTGGGAGTTTAGCAACATAGCTACTATGCCATCAGCTGACTCCAAGGAAAATATTCTTTTGGGAAGTACCATCTTCTTCAGATTTCCTTGGTATACCAAGATTCTTTTTATGCCTCAGAAACAGGGTCTAAAAGCTAAAGAAATAACACTCATGGCACCACCAATTATTAGTTCTTTCATGAGTGAGTGAAAGAAAAAGATATTACCCTCATCAAGATCTTGATACCATAGTCTACCCTGAGCTTCAGCCAGCCTCAGAAAATGGACAAGTGTGTGCCAACTTTCTCAGGGAGGAATCCAGACTTGAACTGGGAACCTTCCAATGTGAGATTGCCTTGCAGGGCATGATGGTTCACTGTTGTGCAACCATTTGACTCTCTCAATGTTCGTTTTTAAAGACCTAGGGGCACTGAAATTCTATAGTGTGCCTCATTCAAAAAATCACCAGCTTAAGGGTCCAAATATTAGATTCCAGGATGGGAGATGTGGGGCTGCCTCTCTGAGGGTTGTAAACAGATCACCTTCAGCAGAGGGAAGTCGGTGATAAGGCTGGGGTCAAATTCTTCCACGGCATAGAGAAGTTCAAGCAGGTGAATGTCAGCTTTGCTCAGCTTGTTGCCCACCAGGTAGTCCTGTCCATGGCTCTTTAACACCTAGAGAATTTGAGGAATCAGATCGAGAACATGCACTCAGTCAGGCTGAGTACTCCATGTTTCTCTCCAAGCTTCTGTAGCTTGACTCTCCCACCTTTGCTGTTTCATTTGGGGTGTCCTAAGCACCCGACATTCATCCATGCCTGCGGGAAAGAGAAATGGGCTCTGCTCACCCCTTGGTGAAGCCCAAGTTATCATTTTCCCTCATTCCTTCATTCCCACCTTCCTATGGTGTCTACCCCACCCAACCTTACATCTTCTATAAGTACCAAGGCTTGGGCCTGCTCCAACATGTTTCTGTTGGCCCCAAACCCTAGGAGGTTGTAGTCCCGTGATTTCAGAATGTGCCTCTGTACTCTTCTCTCTGTCTCCAGTATCCCTGGGCCACAACTCCATCTTTCTGACTGCACTCCTCGCCTTTGAGCAGACTAATTCACAGTCTAGGTTTCTCTTGTCTGCTCTCCTCATTGTCTGATTCAGCTGTCATGAATCTGAAGTAAATCCAGGTAAACTTAAATTCATTAGCTCCTTTGCAACCTTGGCTCTGACTCCTAACTTGTGCTATATTATCATCTACAAGCGGAAGTATCTAAGGATGAACTGCACTTATTCCTACAATTTATGATAAAGTGCTTAAAAATATGTTTATTTAGGGGAGATGGGTGGACACATGAACACACACAAGAAAGCAAACATCATTAGATATTTTAATTTTGCTGTTTAGATGGTGGTTATATACGTCTTCATTAAGCATCTACTCCAACTTTTCCAGATGTACAAAATGTCTCAAATTGTGTGGTGACATGCATATTTATTAAAATATTCCAGCAATACTCAACTAATAAACAATGATAAATAACACACACGGCACCACCAATTAAAGATAATAAGTGGGCTAATAACCTCTCAGATTATACATATAGAAGCATATATAATTACTTGGCATAAAAGCATAACACAACCTCAAATATTACATTCTAACCTATGTTAATCGTTTATGTTATATTGGGAATCATTTATTTATTAAGATGTATAGAAGTGCTTGCACTGTAATGGCTGTAGAGATTGTCATCATGCTAATGTGCTCTAAACCGTCAGCACCACAAGGACCAGAAGGGTATATTTGAGGATCTGATTCCTATTAATATTAATGGTTTATATCCTTGCGTAGCACCCGACAAAGCAATGAGTCGACATTTGTTGAATGGATTAAGAAAAATTTAATGATTCATAAGATGGGCTTTAATCCATTAGTCCCTTGTTTATAGTATCTCATAATCACTTTTTTGGTACATGATTTCTATTCACCATGATTTCATGTAGTTTTGATTTTGAAACGGTCTTCTTTTAACTCCAAAAAAAAGTTATCTAAGTAAGTTACTATATATATATATATATATACACCATATATGACATGGAAATTTATTCCTTTAGTTTTGCACTATTTTCCTCAAAAATCTTAAATCCAAGTCCAAATTCTATATATTTTTTCTTAATATCTTTTCATCTAGTTCCTTCTCTTCATCTATATGCAACCATCCTTTTTCAGATATTTCTCACTCATGTCTGAAATACTATAGTATTCTTGTGATAGGCAACTAGTCTCATGTCTCCCTGTACACTGTGTCAGAATATTTTCTGATGTATTGTTTTCATCATGTTCATATTGAATCAAATGCTTGCGTTCTGCATAATCTAGTCCAATCTCTACTGTGGCTTAAAGGCATCCACAGCACAAGTTATAATTATGACCATGAAATTATTTCACACACAGAACTCTAGATTTAGTTCCAGTAAATAAGATTGTCTGTAAAGTTAACTTTGGCATAAGCAGTACAATTCTTCCCGGTCTATTTTTATATGATGCCTTGAATGTAAAGGTACTAAATTAATTTTAAGGACGGCCCCTTAGAAATGAAAGTCAATGCCCTACAAATACCCAGGACTATTTCTCTCTTCTCCTCTGTTACATACTGAATGTTTATGTTCCTCTTAAATTCATATGTTGAGATCCTAATGTGCAATGTGACACTGTTACTGGGTTTAGCTTCTGGGAGGTAATTAGGTCATCAGCACAGACTTCACATACACTAGTACCCATATAAAAAGGGCTCCGTAGAGCTCTCTTGGCTCATGTGCCATGTGACAGCAGAACCTGAAGAAGGCAATCTATGAAGCAATGAGACCTTCACCAGATACAAATCTACCCCCATCTTGATCTTGTACTTTTTGGCGCCAGAATTATGAGAAATAAATGTCTCTTTTAAGCCACCCAGTCTAAGCTATTTTTGTTAGAGCAGCCCAAACTGCTAATATGTCCTCTTAGATCAAAAAAATACACTCTATATTCTTAATCTCCTTTAAGGTTAAACGGCTTCCACTTACCTTTTCAAAGACAGGAAAATAACGGTTTATTGTTCTCTCTTTGATCAAAGCTACCTTGGCATCTTTTTGCTCAGGTGGACATATTGGCAGAAGAAGGATCATTTCATACAAATCTGCCATCCCTTCTACATACATATCAATCCTGAAAGACAAAACAACCAAACCTTCAAGTGCTTCCTGCCTTATCACTTTAAAAAACTAAAAGGTATCATGTACTGACAATAGTTTGCCTTCGGTGGGCGGATTTTAGTACTAGTCATTGAGCTACGATTCTTCCCTTTGCATCCATACTTATTTCTTAAAACAACCAAACAGGATAGATACATGTCTAAAATTTTCGCCCTATGCATGACTAAAGACAGGTACAAAGTGACCTGTCCGGAGTCATAGTCATGAACGACTGGTGGAACCACTTCCCCCACTGACACAACAAATGGAGTTTGCAGCTCTGCTGGGGTTTGTTCTGTACACAGACGTACCATGATTCATATGGCCAAAGACCTGCCACCTCAGTAATGACAAGAAGTCATCCCTGGCACAGGATCTCAGACATGACAGGTTCCCCCTCACGACCTGTCACACATGCCAGGCCCATTTTTATGCCCAAGTGTGTAAGTTTTTTAAAATTATTCCTCATCAAACATGGCTATACAACCCTCTCCACTTGCTTTTGCCCGTCCCTAGTCTTGTGTGCTTTTATACAGACCCACCTAAAATATAACCTTACTCGGCCTGATTTTATGTAGAGTTAAAATCAGTGTATACTATAGGTTGTTCTTTCCTTTGTTTCAAACTGGACTTTCTTCAGTACTGCTTAAAATATTGATGTATATATTCACATTGTACAATTGCCATCCCTTAAAACTGTCCTATTCCGTGGTTTTTAGTACATTCATAGAATTCTGCAAGTACTGTCACCTTTTAAATTCCATACAAGCTCATTAGCCCTAGAAGATCAAGAAGATATGCTGTATGATGTGGCAATCACTTCCCATTCTCCACTCCCCCCAGCCTCAAACATCTGCTAATCTACTTTCTACCTCTATGAACTTGAATAATCTGGACATTTCATAGAGAAGAAATAATATAACATGAGATAACCTGAGGCCTTTAGTGTCTGTTTTTTTGTTTTTTGTTTTTTGTTTTTCATTTGAATATTTGCCATAGGGCACATATGCTTACTGGAGAGAGAGAGAAAGGAAAGCACCCCACAGGGGGGATGCTCACACCACAATTCTTTCTCCTCTAATCCCCATTTGAGATTTTGAGGACACACACTTGCCCAGTTGGCCATGTGGATCCACCACCTTAACCACCAAGCCACTAGCTGGTCAAGTGTCTTTTTTTTTTTTCTTTTCCTGGTTTTTTTTTTTTTTTTTTTTTTGAGCGAGAATCTTGCTATAGGGCACATGCAGTAGCCTCACTGGAGTGAGAGACAGAAAGTAAGAAATCACACCCCAAGGGGGAAGGCCATGCCACAATCCTTCTGCCTCGAGTCTCCTCTTGGGATTTTGTGCACGCACATATACACATCTGGTGTGAGTTTCAAGCCCCTGGGTCTGAGACTCAGACCACAGTAGGCCATGTGGGAGTCTAGTGATGTAACCATTATGCCATCTGCTGGTCCAGGATCTGATTTTTTTTAATGAAACATACATAACATCTTAGAAATTCATCCACATTGTCACATGCATCAATATTTCACTACTTTTTGTGGCAAAATAATTTTTGATTGTATGGCTGCAACATATTTTATTTATCCACTAATCCATTGACAGACATTTGGATTGTTTATACTTTTTGAACAATATGAGTAATGCCGCCATGAAAATTTCTGTACATATTTTTGTTTCTTTTATATATACCTATCAGTGTTATTATTGGGTCATTGGTAATTCTGTATTTAACTTTTCAAGGAACTGTCAATAGTTCCATATAAGATTTTATTTTCCACAAGCAGTCCCATACCATAGAGGACCCCCCTCCCACACCTGCAACCCCCAGCTTTGATGATACTGACTCAATATGGTTCCTTTAGTCTTGTTGAAATATTTAAGGTCATGCCAGAATCTTGGGGATCAACCTATAGTAAGACTTGATAAGTTGACAAGTCCATATAGTCAGCTAGTAACTTAGGATCCTGATCATTATTATAATTTCTAGAACCTGAGAGTTAGCTGCTTTGTGTCATCCTCCTTTCTTGTCTTCTCCTCTAGACATGAGTTACTTTGTCACTTGTCCCAACTTGTCGCCTAGAGTCCATCCCCTAAAGACCTGAGTACCTGGAGTCATGATTCCATCATCCTTCTGAATTCGTGTTTCATTAGTGTTTGGAAACCTCTGTCACTCTTCTATTCCTGAGGACTACATCTTCTTCTATAATCACACTTGCCTGAATCCACCCCAAGGGTACTCTTCTCTCATCTCCATAGGACTGTGAGACACTGGACCTCTGTGTACCTGCCCAAGACCCACATGGCTGCTGGTCAGGGTCTCCCTGCCGTGTCCTGCTCACTCAAGAGAGGATCTAAATATTCCTGGGTTATCTGTTTCTGTAAGAACAGAAAATGTACCGTACAGGGCTCTCTCCTTCATGTCTTTGCCATAGAGGTTGTATTTGGTGGCGATATAGTTGAGAATGGCTCTGGTCTGCACCATCTTCATCCCATCAATCTCAACCATTGGCACTTGCTGGAACATCAAACTCCCATCTTTTGAAAGAGGAAAAGAAAGAGGAGAATGAATGTCTCTGGGTCCTACTCCTTCAGAGCACAGAAACAGTTGTTGAAATGACTGAAGATTAAAAAGATGAAAAAAAATTTTTGTATCCTTTCAAATAAAGTAAGATTGGCTTATAGCTTTCTGTAATCCTTTTTGTTATCAACCTTGTTTTTAGTTTTTAGCCTGTGTCATTTATCATTTTATTCCCCATCCAGATACATGGTTGGTCACTATCTTTTTTCTTTTGCTTATCATCATGGATATTTTAGGAAAATGTCAGAAGAAGTTGAAACAAAGACACCACTGAAATGCCATTTAACCCAGGATCTTCTCAGACACTTGTGTTCATGACATTAAGGCTAGTTCTTTGTAGGCCCTTTCATGCTCTTCAAGTAATACCACTGGATTAGCATGTGCATGGCCAGCCTCGAGTTCCTGACCTCAGGGCTGCTGGTCCTTGCTCTTGATGTTCCTCCTCACACTCTCACCTGCACTTTCTACTAACTCAACACTGCTTTGTTGTCTAAGTCAGCGATATTGCTGGGCTATTACCTTGTCCAACCCATAAGAGAAATGAATGCAAAATCACTGCCAGGTCCATGTATACTCCTTTCATCTACTATATGACCTAGAATGTTCTTGAATGGAAAGGGTAGTGTGGAATTCTGAGCTGATCACAGTTCATTCTCAGAAAGTATGGGGAAGCAGGGGGAGGTCCTCAAAGGGCACTGGGGTGGTTCTCTTATGAAATACTGAGAGTCCCAGCCCATTTTAACCTTAAAAGGTTTTTCAAGCTTGCTCAAAAAACCCTTATATTTTAACTGCTTTTCCCTCTCTGCACCACCCCATTTACTATCTTAAAAACACATAGGCAGTGCCTGGTGATAAAACCTCAACGTATACTTTCTACTGCATGCCCTCCCCAGAAATAATTAGATACTCAGTATTACCATTTCTTAACTTGTCCAGATCTTCTTCAGAGTCTATAAATTGTTCCTCAAACTGAAGCAGAAACAGGAAATAGGTTTTGGTTAGTTCATTCCGTAGTATTCTAGACTTTAAACTTGAATGATCACAATACATGTTGTGGAGAAGGTAAAATTTCTTTTCCTCTTTTTCTTTTCAGAGAAATAGAAGTGAGAGAGAGAGAAACTGACATTATCAACAGGGTCTTCATGGTGTGACACCTCTATCACCACCACCACCACCACCACCACCCTCCCAGGCCTGAAGGCAGCCTGGATCACAGGCACACCCATGAGCACACCCAGCGTGTTGAGTTAAACTCTGAGACACAAAGTCTGGATCCTCCCACATGGCTTCAGCACTGTCCCTCCTGCCCGAACCACTGCCATCCTGAGAAAGTAGGATTTCTGCATTTGGCAGGTACACAGAAGAGTGATCACTGCCCTTTAGAAATTTAGATTAGATCTATCAGGAGCAGATGTCCAGGGCTGGACAGTGGGCAGTGGTAAAACAAAATGCTCTGAGAAGCTGATCCATGGGGGAAAGTTCTAGGTCCACCTTCACCACTGCCATCCTGAGAAAGTAGGATTTCTGCATTTGGCAGGTACACAGAAGAGTGATCACTGCCCTTTAGAAATTTAGATTAGATCTATCAGGAGCAGATGTCCAGGGCTGGACAGTGGGGCAGTGGTAAAACAAAATGCTCTGAAAAGCTGATCCATGGGGGAAAGTTTCAGGCCCACCTTCAGAGACTTCCTGATTATGTCAGGCACACTCATTATCCAGGACTGGCAGACGCCGGGACTCTACCAAGGCATCAAGACCTGGTTGGAGGTATTGGTGCTTTCTCTCTCTTACTCAGGGAAGAAAGAAAGAAATGAACTTTTAAAAAGTAAAGAAAGAATTAAAGGACCTGGGTCATAGCGCCTAGATGCTATTCTTGTAGATTCACTCACCTCCACCTGACCCCATCATGTCCACTTTACGTCATGATTTGGGAGGGGACTGTCACTGCAGGGAAGGCACTGGCAAGATTTTCTAGCCCTGGAGTTTCACACTCTCAGGAAAGCCTATTTCTCTGGGATCAGAGCACAGCCTTCTGTGTCCCCACCATGGAGCTGTACGGACCAATGCCCATCTAAGAGTCTACCACGAGTGGTCTCTGTTTTATGTTCCATTACCCCATTCTCTGAAGCTCCTTAAAGGGAGAAATGAGTCCTGGCTGTTACAGAGCATTAACGCTTGCAACTAGAATTTTTCTCTCCTAGAAAAAACAGGGAGACACACTGGGGTAGAATTCCCAGCTTCAAGAAGGAATCAGAGTCCCCACACTAATTGTTTAACCCAACGATCTTTGATTTATGATATGGCTACACCTCTTAACATACCTTTTCACATAATAACATCTTGACCACAAACATGTTACTGAATCCCTCAATGGTTTAGTATCCTAATCTATAAAATGGGTATTGTTACGGTACTTATGTTACAGGTTAGTATGAGCATTAAATTTCTAAGGAGGCATGCAAAGCACTGAAAAAGTGGCCAGGAAATGTAATTTATCATTAGGATGCTCAAGATAGCTACTGTGTCATTATGCCATCCTTTTAATGTTTTCACTTGAGAGGTATCTAATATTGATGAATAAGTACTTTGTTCTTGATCTATATTCAGTAATTTAGACCGTGGTGTAAATTCTAGCTTGTCTTGAGCCAAGTTGCTTTGGTTGGAATGGTGCCCAGAAACAAAGCTGCCTCCATCCGATCAGAAGCTCTGATTAGTTGCAGATGTTTAATACAAAATGAAAACCTAGAATGACATAATGGCATAGTAGATTTATTTTTAAAGTATCTAAGGAGACAGTTATCAAGATTTTCTGGATTTTGATGATGATATGATTTGGTTCAATCACATGATGGCTATGTGATCTGGGCATAGTGACTTGATCTCCAAGCCTTAGTTTCCTTATTTATAAAATGAGGGTAGAATATTTTATTCAACAGAATATTACAGTGTTTTCAACCAGGGCAATATAAACCATGTAACAAACAGTAAGGTTTGCAGTGGCTGTAATAGTTTAGTGGAGTTCTTTATGTTGAAAAAGTCAGGAATGTGGGGGGTTCTGACTCGCTCCAAGGAAGAGTTTATTGTAGCTCTAAGATCACCAAGGATCAAGATATAGAAGTAGTGAAATGTCTGTTTAGTTCAAGACAAATAAAATGGATGGAGGTGGTCAACACAGGAAGATTGTTGAGTTGGGATGGGGTTGGTGAGGGTGGTGATGCTTATGAGGTTGATGGAGGTCGATGGGATCGTAATAACATCCTTTAGGCACAGAACCCAGAAGCTGAGGAAGAGTGATCAAACAGCTGTATGGAGGACAGGAACCCTGGGGTGCTCTGAGCATTATCTGTACCTACTTCACCTCCCGGGCTGACCTCATCCAGCAGGCCTCTGAAAATGACCCGAACTGTGAAGCAGAAATTTAGACTCGGTAAAGACAGATAATTCATTATTAAGGAAACAACCTGGAATGGCAGTATCTAGATTTTGTTCTGTGTCTGATTCTCCATAAAACTGAAAAAGGATCAGGCTATTCATGAAGCAATAGAGACAGTATAATCCCAAGGTTAGGGGATTATACGTTGCTATGAGGCGGCTGAAGGGAGTGCACTAGAATTTCCCTCCACAGGACTCCAGCTGCCCCTCAGACCCTCCTTCTGTGTTCCAAGCTGAGGGACAAGATCTGCAGCGGAGCCCAGGACTCACTCCCCAGAAAACTGCTCTCAGGGCTGTCAGTGTCTCTGATCTGGACTGAGAGGTTTTAGTCTCAGTGACGCCTCTAGAGGGCAGCATTCAGCAGTCACCCAGAAAGCCACCAACACTCCTTGTTCAGACAGGAGAAAATAAGGAAGTTTCAGGGTCGAATGCTTGTGTGTTCTTAATGCTCCTACCCCTCCCTTGAATTACCTGTTTACTGGTCCGCATCCTCATAGCTAGAGGCTGCACATGGGCAGGGATCATGTCTGTCCTGTTCACCCTGTATTCCTAGGACCTTGCACAGTACCTGACAATAGGTACTCAACAAAGTGATTGCTGAATAAATGTATTCAGTGTTTAACAGGCAGTTGTGTCTATCTGCTGCCTCCCACCTCTTTTATACTTTGAATTACCCTCTTTTTAAAAAGCATGTTAATCCTTTTATTATGGAAATTCTTAACATGTATAAACATAAACTGAAAAGTATAAAAATCTTCCCTGTACCCTTACCTAGCTTTGATAACTATCAAGCCAATGTCATTCTGTCTATATGCCCAGCAGGTCTCCTCTTTCTATAGTAAATTAAAGAGAATCCAGGTAAAGGTTTTGTTCCTAAATACTTGAACGTATTTCCCCAAAACATGAAAACTATTTAAAAAATAAGTAAAATGGATGATCACACCTATGTCATTAACAACATTCATTAATGTCATCAATATCTGATCAGTATTCAGAGTTGTAATTGTTTCATAAATGCCCTAAATCATTTTTATGACTTGTTTAAATCCAAATCTAAATAAAGTCAGCACATGGTGATTAGTTTTTTAAAATTTTATGATAATATTTATGTTCTTTGATGAAAAGAAATTTCAACACTTCAAGAGGTCAACTTTGTTCATCTCTTTCTTAATGGCAATTTTTATTTAAGGCACAACTCTTCACGGATTATTCATTAAGAAGCATCCTCCTTGCTTATGTGAGAAAAGTATCTGATACATTCCGTTTGGGATCTAACTTAAGGTGTCCTATCTCGGAGCCTACCTCTACTCCAGCTGCTGCCAAAAGCCACCGGATGGACTCCATTCTGCCCCGCGCATTGAAGTAGTGAAGCTTGGGCTTCCCCGCCATGTTGGTGGTCTCTTGGTTTCGCTAAACATGAATGAATGGATGAATAAATGAATGAAACCACAGAATCAAAAATGCACTTTAGGACATATGGTCCAAAAGCACCAACAATACTGAAGAAGTATCTGCTTTCTTTGTGGCATGTTGGAGGAGTTCCTGGAATGTGTTCTTTGGCCCAAACTGTTACCTATCAGTAGCCACCTCCGATTACACCAAAGCAGTCTCATGTCTCACTGGTTAAAATGATGCTGTTCTTGACAGGCTAATAGGTGAGAAGCTGTGGTTATAATACATGTTCTCGAGTCAGGGAGAAGAGGAAAAGCAATGAAACTAATATTTATTGAGTAGCTACTAATGATCCAGCCCCAATACAAGTCCTTTTCTTTTTATTAATTTTTATTTGCCTCCTATAGCCCATAACCTATGCCTTACCAGAGAGAAACAGAGAGATAGAGAAAGAAAAAGTGAGCGCACCCCTGGGGGCAGGGGGATGACCACACCACAATATCTTCTCATCTCAGGATTTTGGGCACACATGCACACACACCTAGTGCGCTTTCCAAGTCGCAGGGTTTGAGACTCATACTGTGCAATCAGCCATGTTGTATCCAGTGCCTTAACTACCACGCCACCTGGCTGGCACTACTAGTTCCTTTCAATCTGTTGTCTTTAGTACAGGTTGAGTAGTTCTTATCCTAAATGCTTGGGACCAGAAGTGTTTTGGATTTCTTTGGTTGTAGGAATATTTGCATACGCATAATGAGATATCACGGGACTGGAACTCAAATCTATCCAAAATTTATTTCTATTTCACATACACCTTATTGACATAGCCTAAGGTTAATTTTATATATTTTTGTATTACAGTGTTTTGAATGTAACTCATTACCTAGGATCAGGTATGGAATTTTCTACATGTGGACATCAAGTCAGTCCTCAAAAAGTATCCAATTTTAGCCCATTTCAGATGTTACATTTTTGTGTTAGGGAATGCTCAACTTGTACTCATAGTAGTCTCATGAATTCCTTGATATTATCTGTTTCTCAGATAATGAAACCAAGACTCAGACAGGTTAAGTACAGTGTTCCCAGTCACACTCCACTTAGTGCTGGACATGAAAATCCACATGCAGGACTCAAAAGGAGGCAGGTCTGGAACCCACACAGACGACGATCCCAGGCACCTGTGTAGGGGACTTGCAATCACAGGACATCACTGGCAGCGAGGACCACGAGAAGCAAGAGCTCTTCCGCTTTTTGGCTGTTAGAGCGCATTTGATCAAAAGCAGAAAGCGGGCCTCAGACTTGCTTACCCAAAGCAAAAAGACCTAACATCTTTCCATACACAGAGGAGGCTAAGCTCTTGATTCTTTTGAAATTCTGTATCTACTCCTGCCAGGCTCATCTTATTTTGTAATCTGTGAAAGTTGTCAAAGTCTAAATGGAGTCCTTTGTGTCCACTCGTACTAAATAAACTCTGACAAAACTGAATGGGGAAAGGCCCTGGAGGAGGTGCTTTCTCACGCCGGCATGACTGATAATAACTGTTACAGACTGCCGGAATCACAGCCTCACACAAAGACCACTGCACCCTGACAAGGACTACTACAAGGACTTCTGCCTAGAATCTACCTAACTGATAAAAACTGATGCCTGCGATGATGCCAGTAACAGGATGGCATCGGGTCGCCCTTGTTAGTGACCCTGGTAGCCAAGGATAATTGTCTCAAAGCAATTGTTATAAACCCCTTTCTCCTTCTTCCCTTTGTAGTTTTTGTCTTTAAAATCAACTTAAGGATGTTAAGAACTTGGTGTGGCTGAGTTCGTTACATGCAGACACAGTGTGTGCTTTTCATCTCAGCTATGCATGTGTTGACTGTTTGCTACGTGCACACTCATTTGTCATTTTGAATGGTAAGAGAGACATTGACTAAGTCCAGCTGGGAAAGTTGGATAGCCTTTGCTCTACCTCGGGATGCTCAGTAGGTGTTACACAGTAGAGAACAAGAGAACGCATCACTTTGATCCCAAAGACAGACAAAATTAATTGTATCCTGAGTGTGAATAGAAAGAAACCCACAGGACTTACTGAAAGCAAGAGTCTCAATACAAGGACCCAGGGAGAAAGCTGCACTCTCTCTCCAAACCTGAAGCTTTGTTATAAAATAACAAGATTATTCATACAAGTTTCATTGATGTTGACTTTGGAACAAAAATACACTTGTCTTTTACCAACAAATGCCCCATTTTTTTTTTTTTTTTTGAGAGGTTTTTGCTACAGGGCGCCTGCGCTCACCAGAAAGACAGAGAGAGACAGAGAAACAGAAAGCGAGAAATCACCCCCCGGGGGGATGGCCACACCACAATCCCTTCTTCTCCATTCTCCTCTCAAGATCTTGGGCACACATGCACATGCGCCTGGCATGAGTTTAAGCCACTGAGTCCGGGACTTGAGCCATGGTCGACTACGTGGGAGTTCAGCGACATAGCCATTATGCCAACTGCTGTCCCACCAACAAATGTCCTTCTAAGAAAGTGTAACTTGAGTTTTAGACATCAAAATATTTAAATGTCCACATTTTGAAATGCAAAACTTAATAGTGTAAATGCAAAACTTAATAGTGTAAACTTTAGATAGGAAAATATCCTTTAGAAGCATATTTACCCAATGTATTTGTCTTGCGTACATTGAACTGAACTTTCTGATCATGAGGAATGCAGGTGGCATGATTCAGCAGAATGAAGAGGGTAACGTCCACACTAATGTGTGAGGTGTGTGGAATTGTTATGGACTAGAGTTCAGAGAGCCAAGTGACTCGAATCCTCACACTAAGTCCCTGAACTATTGAGGATCATGTTGCAAAGGGAACTGAATTTTTATCTTACATAATATTTTATCACAAAGCTCTTCCTTTCTGTACCTTCTAAATATGAGATTTCCAAAGGCAAGGCCATGTCTGGGACAAAGGTCACCATAATGCTCTGGTGTGTCAACGGGTAAGTTTTGCACAAACTCAAGGACTTTGTGAGTTGGCGAAGGTTAGCTACTCAACAGATTTGAAGTCCAAGGCTTCTCCACTTCATCAAGTACCATTACCCATGCACTTCGCTTCTCTCTGAGAATCTGCTTTGTATTTTCCTGCTCAGAGTCCATTAGCTGATACAAGGTTGGAAGGGGAAGGAAAGAGGGGACCATTGAATTCATGAGGTCATTTTTGTATGCATCTTTTCAGGTGCTTGATTAGAGGAAAAACACTATTAGGATAGTGGTTTGGTTTACCTTGACAGCCTATAAATGGAATAAATTGAACACATATTTACCTCCATGAGACAATGGACTTGTTTTGGAAGAAATGCAACCAGTAGTATGCAGGCGTCATGTCTCTGGATGGTCCTTCTACACTATCTTGTAGCAGAGAGAAGGGAGACCTAGAGACAGTACTGGTTTGGATTCTATTTCCCTTTCCTTGTGAGGTCCATAAACTGAAGTGGGTTGTTTAAATTCTGAGCTCAATTTTCTCTTATGAAAATAAAGAAATATCTCGTTTTAAGGATTGTTGAGAAAGGTAAATGATATAATGTATACACAATTCTAATAGGGACTCAGTAAATGGGAGTTCCCTTCTGCTCCTGATTCACGGGGTGAGTCCCTGGGCACGTCGGATGGTGCGTGTGTTCTCTCTTCCGTCTTCTGTCTCTCTATCCATCTATCCATCTCTCTGTCTGCCTATTACTCTACGTACCAATTAGATCTATCCACTCATTCATCCAACTATCTATCTATATCATTTTATGTATCAATCATTCATCTGCCTATTGTCATTTACCTACCAATTATTTGATCTATTGAGCCTTTTTAAAATAATAATTTATTTAATTTTATTTATTTATTATTATTCTTCAATTTGACCAGAGAGATAGAAGGAAAGTGAGAAAGCAAGCCACTAGGTCCAGGACTCAAACCATAGTTGGCCACGTGGGAATCCAGCACTTTAAGCACCATGTCACCTGCTGGCCACTCTATCAAGCCTTTTATTTACTTGTATATTCATCATCTGCTATCTATACTTTATCCATCACTCTATATTTTGCAGATAGAGACCCAGTAAAAATGAGATATTTTATGTACCCACATTTTTTTTCAAATAAATCATAACAGAGCTTTTTTAAAATTTGTTGTTCCTAGCTCCTGTTCAATTGATGCACTAATTAGTTCACCTGGATGAACAGGAAGTTTTCAGGAGAGGTTCAGAAAGTCTAGCCCATCATTAAGCAGAGCGTGCTTAGTGCCAAGACAGAGGTAGACTTCCGATCCCTCTACACACCCTGAGCACCCAGAGGACCTTTCTCCTCAGCCTTGACCCCAGGCTACCACTGACCCCTCGCTCTGGGCACTTTGAAACTTTTCTGTTCCCAGGCTCCTTTTGCCTGGCTCTAGTCATGCAACTGGAAGACCCATCAGCTCTCTCTCCAGCAATTCACGGCACTAGTGCAGCATCTCATGGTCAGCATCTGAAAAACAATCACTTCCTTCCAACGCACAATTCCTTACCAAGAAACACAGACTTTAAAAACCCTTCCTAGACTCCTCGTTTCTGATGCATTTTCCTAATTTAAAAATTTTTATTCAAACTTCCTAACTACTACTCATGGAGCAGTTTCTGTGTGTTAAGCCATGATGAAGTTTTGTAGGGGAAATACAGGTGTGTATTAGGCCCTACCCTAAAAGATTTAATCCACCCAGAACAACAGGCTTATAAATGACTGGCAGAGCACCATGGGCTCAGCAGTGACTTCACTGTAATGGGTTTCTGCGAATTCCCACCCAAGAATCTGGATATTCTCCACAAGACAAGTCAGGTGAGTGAGCAAGCTGCCCTGCTCAGAAATCTGAGGGCCCGCCCCTTCTGTCCTGGTGGGCTCCTGCCTTCCGGGTCAGCATGCCAGCCTCCAAATTCAGTGGACTGTGTAATCCCAGGGACCAACCCTCCTACCCTTCACAGGTTGTCCTTGGATCGCAGGTCGTCCTTGTCCAGACAAAGATAAGCATTTTGCCATGTGCTTTCCCCTGAGTTCATTTCAGCATCTTCTTCCATACAGGCTGTATTTTTTTCTGTGATTTGTTATCCCTGATTGCTCGAACACCTGGATTTTCAGAGACTCTCACTGAAACTCCAGCCTCTCATTTATAAGAACGTTCTTTTCCCCTCCTATTCCAGGGCACTGTTGACTCTTACATTCAAATTTAAAGAATAAGTACGTCACAACTAGGTGTGTATGAGATTTTAAAAGAGTAGCTATGTGGTTCAGTGCTTATTAATTTTTGCTGCAAGATGTAGGAGGTTTAGGGCTCCAGAGTCATGGAGTTCAGCGATTCCCAACCAGGGTGAGTTTGTTCCCTGCCCCAGAGGACGTGCAGCAATGTCTGCAGACAGTTTTGTTTCTTGCACCTGGGGGAAGGAGGAGACTGCTACCATATCAGATTGGGAGAGGCCAGGGTTGCCTCTAAACATTCTTCAGTGGACAAGACAACCCAACAAGGAGTCCCCCCATCGAAATGGGTAGTGGAGTCAAGGCTAAGGATCCCTGCCTCAGCCATTCTGTAGGTTTGCCATGAGTTGGTTGATCCCCACATAGAGACTGCGATTTGTCATCTAGGCAATTAGTGGCAAAGACTGAATTAGATTCTACTTCTCCTGTCATTAAGAATACATTTTTCAGGATCAGCAGGTGGCATGGTGGTTAGGGTGCTGGACTCCCACATGGCTGACCACAGTTCGAGTCCTCAACTTGGTGGCTTATTTTCTCACTTTCACTCTCTCTTTTTCTCTCTGATCAAATAATAATAATAATAATATTAAATAAATATTTAAAAAAAAGAATAAACTTTTCCTGGGCCTCCACATATCCCAGTGGTTAAAGGAGCTATATTCCACATGGCCAGCAGTAATTCAGAGTGCAGCTCCTGTGGCTTGAAAAAACTGCAGGCATATGTGGGTACCAAAAATGCCAAGGGGACAGAGAAATGGAGAAGGAACTGCAGTGCGACCATGCCCCCTTGGGAGCGCTTTCTTCCTTTCTCTCTCTGATAAGCCCACACACTCTCTGGAAAAAAATAACAACCACTTTTTAAATAAACACATGATTTATTCATGTTATAAGAAATCTTAGTTTGAATTTTCAGTCTACATAGCACTATAATATCACAATGCACAACAATGTTGTAGCTACATCTACAGAGAAAAGCCACGTTAGCACACACGGACATTTGCCTGCCCTGGCGACATTCCCAGTTTGTCTAAAACGCTTCTCTCCCTTTTCTCTCTCATGTCATCAATCTTTTCTCATACCATTCCCTTCTCATACAAGCATTTTCTAAATTCTTCATCCTTACATTTCTGTAAAGATGTATCCAACTGAAATTGGAGCAACAACTCGTGAAGTATCAGCTAATCACACCAGAAGGCACCATGTGAGTATAAGATAGACTTAATTTGATGCTGAGGACACTTTCACAGCAGGTTTCTAGTAACTTAGGAGGGTGAGTGTAAGGCAGTGGATGAAATGTTGTAAAATCAGTGCTTACCTTATTAAAATCTGCTTCCCTCTTAGCTTTGCAACTCAAGAGCAGCTTCTGATATGTTTGTAAGCCATCATTTAAATACCTCCTTCCCACCAACAGGGGAAGAGCCCAGTAAGGGAAAAGCCACTCCCACAGGCTTTAGAGTCAGAATTTTTTTTTTTTTTTTTTTGGGGAGGCAAAATTTTTTTTTTTTTTTTTTTTTTGGAGAGGTTTTTGCTACAGTGGGCATACGCTTGCCAGAAAGACAGAGAGAGACAGAGAGACAGAAATCACCCCCCCAGAGGGGTGGCTATGCAGCAATCCTTTCTCCTCCATTTTCCTCTTGGGTTCCCGGACACGCATGCACACCCACCCAGCTTGAGTTTAAGCCACCAGGTGTGGGACTTGAACCGTGGTCGACTACATGGGAGTCCAACGACATGGGCGTCCAACGACATAGCCATTACACCAACTGCTGATCTCTAGAGTCAGAATTTTTAAAAAACAACACATTAAATGATCTTCTTATTCCAAGAAAACTGGTTAATTTTTTTTTCAAGGTTGGCAGTAAAGGTTTAAGCATAGAATCTCAGATGAACTGTTCTGACAGTCAGTAGGGACTTTTTTTTTTCTTTTTCCTGGCAAACTTATTGTAGGGTTTCCATGAATTGGATGCAAAAACTAAGGCATATAAAAAAATTTCCTGTAGGCTTAGCTAGCAGTTGATGTCTGTAAAAGAAAACTAACAGGGTTTTGGAACATTTTTCTAAATGAATTGTCAGACAAATAATGAATAATTTTTAGTGTAAGCATACCCTGAACATTGTATGGGCCATGTTTATAATTTTAAATATTGATGATTTGAAATTCACATTTACCGGGGTGTTTTGTATTTTATCTGCTACATCGAGCAGTTTCACCTGCACTTTTCCTCCCTCACTCCAGTTAGCTTTTGTCCCTCTTGGTCTAGGCAGATGCTGTGGGCTCGATGGCAACATTCCATTTTCAGCCTCTACTGTTTTTTTCCCTCTCTCCGTCTTTGTGTTATTTTAAAAGACATGACGCAAGTAATACCAGCTTCCCCCATGGACACTGAGCTGCTGGTAGTGATGCAGGAAAACTACGATGCAGGAAGTTGGAGTGCGTGGGTGCAACACTCAGTGCAGGAACAGCAATGAACTCCATTCTTTGTCTCGCACTCGGAAGGAATGAGAGACATGGACACAGAAGGAATAGTGAAGTGGAGAGTTTATTAAGAGAGGGAAAGATGAGAGCTCCCAGGCAGGAAGTAGGTCCTGGGAAATGAGTTGCCAACGGAAAACTGAGATAAGCAGTTTTATCTATATCAGAGAGGCTTTGCTTGGGCGTCTTGTTTTTATTTAGGCTTGTTCAGTCTCTGAGAGAGAGAAGCAGCTTGCTCTCACGTTGAGGAGAAATGCCAGCTCCTTGCCAAGCTTCGTGCTGCTCTAAAGGACCTTGCAGGGAGTGAGTTGCCCTCAGAGAGTGCCGCTGTAGGATGGGGGAGTTGAACTGTGCTGTGTGAAAGCTTAGGTTCTTTAGGTCCAGATCTTTAGGGGACTTGTCCTGAGACGCAGAATGAAAAACCACGACACATGTAGTGTAAGAAAAGAGAAGTTTTAATAGGAAAGTCAAGATTTCTAATAGGGAAGAAATACACCCCCATGCCTGAAAGGCATGTGGTTGGCCAGCTGCCAGAGGGACAGCTGAATTGGGCACGAGGTTAGGTGTCACTTTTATCCTGGGAGTTGGTAATGAACATTTAGCAGGGGAAGGTCTGTCATAGTATCCAGCTTCTTTGTTTGGTTTCCTAGGCTTTTTCTTGTACTTGCACATCTCTCTCAGGTGAGGAATTTAATTATCTCAGCACATATGCCCAGGGTGGTCTCTGAAGGAATTAGCATCTATACTGGACGTACTACCCAGATGTTGACTTGGTGTTCCACTCCGGTGGTGAATTGTTATGTGTGTATCTGGGATAACAGAAGGAAGATAACCTTCCGGTGCCAAGAGCCAGGTGGGAAGGGTGGGAGAAAGAAATCTTCAAAGAGGGTCTGGTTGCATTTCCACATAGTCTGTGAATGATCAAGTAAGCTATAAAGCAGCTCTGGTTAAGAAACTCTCTGTGACGGGCAAGCAGGTGGTATGGTAGTTAAGGCACTGGGTTCCCATATGGCCAACTGCGGATTGAGTGCTGGACTGGGTGACTTAAAAAACATGACAAATAAAGAAATAAATGCTTTAAAAAATCTTTCTTTCTTCCTTCTTTTACCTTTCTTTCTTTTTCTTTTCTTTTTCTTTTCTTTTATTTTTTTATAAGAAACTCTCTGTGTGAGCAAGCAGTCAGAATTATTGATTTTTTTTTTTTAAGAGAGATTTTTGCTAGGGCATGTGTGCT